CTCCTGAGATCCTACCAGCCAGAGGTGCAAGACTAAATAAAAAAAATTTAAATGTATTCTTAAAAAAATTGATTCCAAGGAGTGTAAAATTACAATTTGGAGTGCAGAAAAGTAAATGTGGAGCAAACCGTAGAAGAATTGGGCAAAGTCGACTAGTATGCAAGCTGTACCACTGTACTAAATACTACCTCTCAAGATCCTACCAGCTAGAGGTACAAGACCAAATAAAAAGAATTAAATGTAAACGTACGCTTGTAGAAAGTGATTCCAAGAAGTGTAAGACTAATTCGGAGTGAAGAAAAGTCAAATGTGGAGCAAATCATAATAATAATTAGATAAAGTCGACTAAAAATGCAAGCTGTACCTCTAGCCGGTAGTATTTTCTAAGCCTCCTGAGATCTTACCGGCTAGAGGTACAAGACAGTAGAGATTTCATCCTGGGCATCTTTCTTACCGGAAGCACTATGACAATGGCATTGCAGAGGCGATACTATTCATAAGTTTCGTTCGCCTTTGCAAGCGTAGGTCTTAGCGGCTACAATGTTAAGCTGAAACTCTGCTGAACAAGAAACATAAGATCGACGAGGGTGAAGGAAACAGTTATACAAAATTTAGCGAAATTTCCTTGATTTAAACCTCACAATATATTATTCACATGCAAAGCATGTAATAATGTTCATGTCTGGTTCAATAACGTCGCTTGAGTGTTGATAAATCACAAATGGCGTTACCGGAATAGTCTGCCATATTGGAATAGCTGGCAACTTCCGATAATCACCCGACTCGGAGACTCGTCACTAGTGCTTCTTGACGGGGATGAAAAATGGCGACGGGAATTAAAAACGTCTGCGCATGCGTGGCGAGAGCCTCTTGATGTGGCTGTTGGCGCTTTTCGATCGTTTGATCAAGGAAAGCTTAGCGCCATTTTATTGTGTTTTCATGGGTGTATTTTTTCCTTTAAAACTGCAATGTAAGGACGCTATTTGAAAATAACCTCTGTAAACTGAAATCTTCTATTGCTTGCTCTAGAGCCAACAAATTCCGGAATATGTCAGCGCATTTAGAACTCGGAAAGTAAGCATATTGTAAGCTTAACTTCTTTCTGTTTAATTTACCTCAACTGTCTCCATTTTGGATAATAGGCTAACACTCAAATTGATATAAGGTATGATAAAGGTAAATCTCTAGGAAAAATGGAACTTTTTATCAAAGCGAAGCGGTAGCACACCTACCCTACACGGTCATACATGAAAAAATTGAAAACGATGTAAAATATCGCGTTACCTGATGCATAGCTCCAGCACAAGCGACAAATTGCGTTACAATCGCTTTCAGTGGAACCCGACATTCGTTACAGTCCCAAGGGTGTATTAGGAATTAGTGATTTCCTTATAGCACGAGAGAAGCTCATATGAATACGGCAACCCAGCCAAAGAGTGTGTGGCACTCGATTACATAAAGCGTGCGGTTCTGGACGTACTAGCTAGTCCCAAACCAATATGGAGCTGTTCTCAATTCTTCAACCACCCAAGCACTAATACACATGCTTCACGACTTGTCAAAGGAAACCGATGGAAACGGCGCTACAGTTAGAGCTATTTTCTTTGGTTTTAGAAAAGTGTTTGACCCTATAGACCATAGAATACTCGTAGAGAAATTGTGTAGTTTGAATCTGCCTACAAGAATTATCAACTGGATCATTGATTCCCTTTCTAATCGTTCCCAAAGAGTCAAAATATCCGAGGACTGGCTATTTCTTGTACTTATAAATGATTTAGATGTTGATAGTTTAGCTAATGTATTGAAGTACGTTGACAACACGACCGCATCTAAGGTCATTGCCAAGGGTAACCGAGGTTGTGCCCTGGAGATCGTGCATAAGGTTACTGAGTAGTTTACGCAGAGTAGAGTCCAACTTGATAGCGACAAATGTAAGGAGCTCAGGATATCTTTTGTAAAGGATGAGCCCTGGTTTGCGCCTATTGTAGTAGATAGTAATGAACTAGAGTGGGTGTCTAGTGCTAAACTACTAGGTCTGACCATATCGAGCAACCCTACATGGAACAAGCATAATAGTGACGTAATCAATAAAGAGTTAAAGCGTCTTTATTTTTCAGTGCAGTTAAAAAGAGCAAGAGTTTTACACTGCTTGTATACGCTCTGTTCCTACGTACGCGGCACCCGTCTTTTTTTATGCCCTGCAAAAGTACCTAAAAGACAAGTTCGTGCGAGTTGAAAAGCGGGCAATGTCTATAGTATGCAGTAGTACTGCCCTACCAGGAGGCTATCGAATTGGTGAACATTGTCCCTATTGTAGATTTCATCACAGGGCTATGTGGTAATACCTTTGACACCATTATAAAGGTTCTTGAACACCATCCGAACAGTTTAATCTCATTTAGTGGACCGTCACGTTATGCTCCGAGGTGCAACAAGCGCTTTATCGTACCTCAATGCAAGACTAATCGTTTTAGGAATAATTTTATTATTAGATCCTGTACTGATAATATATTTACGTGGATTTACGTTTAGTCCTTTTCACATACCCTTTTTTTATTTACTTTTTTATATACCTTTTTGTACACTTTTCTATATATTTTTATATTTACTGTACTTAGTTTTTTTAAAATACGCAATTCAGCCTTAGGGCTGCAAAGTATTGATGATTAAACTATCCATCTATCTATCTATCTAAAAGCCACGAGCTCCACTGTTGTCGTGGATGTGGCTATTTAAAAGAAAAATTCCTTGGGAAGTTGGAATAGATACAACGGTGTTGGAACTGAAAATAAAAACAGAAGCCGTTCTTCCTTGCAATAAAGCTTGTCTCCCGTGGAAACATAACGAAGCTGAAAGAATTGCTCCAGGAATAATGCTGACAAATGGTTAAGAATATATGAAAGTCATATAATGCTGACAGGGAGTTGAGGATCCACAGTGGTATGGCCGATGATACTGTTCAGTGCTATAGAGACTTGCAGAGCTTGTAAGACACCAAAAGTTTGAGGAGAGTTTTGTGCGATTGAATCATAGATCCTGTTGCCTAACAAGATTCCTAGAACAATTATCTGGTACACTCATATCTGACTCAGTGGACTGGTTATTAAAGGAATATCACCATTAGATGAATAAAACAATCTGCGAAACAAAAGGGTAATAGTGTGCATGCGTTGCTCCCTGTTCTACCAAGAATTATTGACTGTGATAACAATCAATAAATAGTGCTCAGAAAGTACTAGAAAGTGACATTGCCATGTTGATATGGCTGGATATTGATGAGCGTCAGAACGTGAGGAGAGCTGTGAGGTAAAGGGTGGTCGTAGACTGATTGATTGGGTTTGAGTGGAAAAGGGATTGTTGGATAACTATTTAAGATATCGTCAACCTTCAGAGTCTATTCTGTCGATAAATAAAATGATTCAGCATCAGTTACATTCATACTCCTGACTGGTGCAGCATCACTATCTTCTTCAAACAGATATTCATCATTAATTTGCAAAGGGTTCCATTGGACTTTAAAATTCCTCTGTTGAAGACTTCTGCCAATCAGGTTGTAAACCAGGTTCTACGTCATCTAATTTGTAACTTAGTGGATAACACTTGGCATCAACTACGGTATCAAAAGTTGGCAGCTAATACATCACCTTTCCTCTTGGCTTCCCATTGTTTGTAAATGTGCGGTCAACCTGAATTCAAAGAGCAAGAATGAATAAATACAAACTATGGTGGCATATCAAATGAATAGAATTATTGCCCATGCTCGAATTTTAGTTATTGGTGTATATTAAATAGAAAACGTATTGTTTTAGTTTTTGTTTGTAGCTTATCTTTTGATTAATGTCTCTATCCTACCACAATTCAACTAAACAAGGCAACTGTAGCCTGGAATAATTTTTCAGATCTCAGAGTTCACTTGTGTATGTGCATATTATTTTTTTGTCCAGTAATTAGTTCAAATTGAAGTCCATTTTGTTATGGTGGCCTGAAAAGCAGTATTACAACATGCACATGCAGTACTCTCCTGTCCAAGATTACCACAGGTTTTTACTATATGTTCTATTTTCTTAGGAGAGTTACCTGCTACAATTCTGTGTAATGTCCCGAAACAAATTTAGGAGAAATTGTGCTGTTTTTCCTGCAACGAGTCACAAGTTTGGTTCAGAGTGGTCTTGGTGGTACTACAGAACAAAGGATTATATGAAGTCATTTAAGAAACCTGACGATGCAAGCGACTTTGCAGTATCTTCAACTCTCCTTGCATCATTGAACTTCTCAATGTTCCTCCGCAGCACAGAGTGTCAGACCACAACTTTCTTTTCTGTGAATAGCTTAAGAATTGTTGACCCCCTAGACCAGTATTCTGAAAGATGTCTGCATCGGTAAGCATCGTCACTCAAAAAGGACACGGTTGACGGGATGGCCAGAGAAAAGAGAGCAATGCCCAGTACAAGTTCGCGATTACTGGAATTATAGAGAAGAGACTTCGCTCCACAACGGAATTCTGTTTAAGAGTCAGAGAGTGATAGCTCCGAAAGCTATGAGGCCGGAGATGCTTTCAAGAATACACTCCAGCCATTAAGGAATTGCTTCATGCCTGAGAAAGGCTGCAGACATCGTCTTCTGGCCTGGCTTGAATTCAGAAATCAAAGCTGTAGTTGAGAGATGCTCAGTTTGCGCAGAGTTTCAAGCAAAAAATGCTAGTCAGCCTATGTAATCTCATAAAGTTCCTGACATGCCATGGAGCAAAGTTACTACAGATCTGTTTACAGTAAACGGGAATAATTACATCACACTTGTTGATTCCTTCTCAGATTTTGTTGAAGTTGATGAATTTGAGAACACTATCTCACATGCAGTTATTCAAGTTCTTAAACAGCACTTCAGTAGACATTAGTTTCCAGACACTGTTGTTTCAGACAATAGTACACAGTTTAGTAGTCAGGAATTTCACGAGTTTTCACTCAGCTGGAAATTCAACCATGTGACGTCATCACCACATTATGCAAAGGCTAATGGTAAAGCTGAATCTTCAGACGATCAAACAGACGGTCAAACAGACGGTCAAACAGACGGTCAAACAGCTATTCAAGAAAGCTGAACGTGATGGTGAAGACCCCTGGTTAGCTTTGCTAGACCATAGGAATACCCCTACAGAAGGTCTAGGAACCAGTCCTGCTCAAAGGCTTATGTCTAGAAGAACACGAACTCTAATACCTACAGCAGCAAGTGTTCTCCGTCCTGAAATAATTCCAGACTCTACAGAGCAGTTAGAGTGGAAAAGGCGAGAGGCCAAGTTTTACCATGACCGTATTGCAAAACAGTTGCCTGAACTGGAGATTGGACAAGAATTCCGAATTGCACCCTTGCAGAAGAATCAAACGTGGAAGCAAGCTACATGCGTTGAGAAACTCTCAGACAGGTCCTACATGGTCAAATCTGGCGATCAGACCCACAGAAGGAATAGGCAGTTGTTGAGACATGCAGCAGAGCCTATAACTCAAGGCAAGCAAAGCAACACGGATGGTACAACCTTACCTAGTGTCAATCACAAGGAAGTACCCACAGTACCGACATGGCCTGCCACACCTTTAAGTCCAAAGCCAGTATGCTCAGCACCCGCGAGTCCTACGGAGCATTTATTCAACACACGCAGTACTTTATCGGTCTCTCAGATGACAAGAACCCGGAGTACTCGTTTACCGTCCAGATTCAAAGACTTTGATATGAAACGTTAGTGAAGGCGTTAAGTTCGGTTAGGGACTAAGTTCAGTCTCGGCGTCAACAAGTTTCGTGTCAACTTAAGTTAGCCAGATTTTTAGTCAAGTTCTGTTAGAGTTGTTTTATTGTTTTTTAAAGAAAGGGGGATGTTACGTATATGGTTTTCTTGACCGTATTTAGAGAATACTGTCTGTGTACTCTTACATGAATTGTTGATTGAAAGAAGACTTTTTTGTGTTTGTTCATTGGCAAAAATATGGATCTCAGTTGATGAGTGTCTTGCCGAAACAGTTGGCAACGTCACGTCTGTACAGGGCCGTTTGAAATGCATCCACCTTCTTATCAATAGTTCTATAGTTGATTCTAAAAAAGGATTATTTTGTTTTTCAAATGATCCGTTATGAAAGTTTAAAGTTTACAATGCTTAAAGTTAATTTAAGCAGAAGCTACCCGTTATTGCTAGCAACCTTTCATCGCCATGAGCTGTTGCTTCATTGCATTCAGCTGTGTTTTCTGGGTGGTGCCCTTTTCGGTTTCCTGTTTGTACAATTTAAATAATTATTCTTCCCCTCTTTCTTTCAAAATGTTCTCTATATCACCCTTCTACATGGGGAAAAATCACAATTTGGTAACGAGAACATAGGTGCGAATGATATGATGAATTTTGCGAAGTGTGTCACTATGGTAGATGTACCTTCCCTCGCTTTGCTATCGCCCTACCACAGTCTCCTTCGGAATTTCTGTAAAATTTTATTTTACATGCGTTGTACCACCCGTTCCCTGGTTGGTATCTCGTTATCTTTCTTCCTTTTATGTCCAAAATTCCCAAAAGGCTTATAGGAATAGTGGTTATTTTATTCATGGCTAGAAATCGAAGACATCATGGCGGCTAAGCATGCGCATAAAAGACAAATCACGAAGTTTAAATATGGCGGCTGCATAAGGCTTTCTGTGGGAAAATTTTGAAAATCAGACACAGTAATTTTCTGGAAGCGTGTACTAAAAATGCCCTCGTCTGAAATGTATTAGAAGAGTGTCCAGATCACTCACCTCCGTTCTCAAACTCTTACGATTTCGCTACGATCTGCCCCAGTCGAAGAAACTTGAAACCTTTTTGGTGCCCTAAGTGTCTTAAAATGGCTTATGTTGGTCAGCTAAAGCTTCTCCTGCAGCCACAACTAGGGTTGTTTTATCAATTGCCCACGTCTGTTCGATCTCTTCGAAAGCCGACCTTCTAATTGAAGGCTATTTGAAGTCATAAAAGTGTGAATCCACGCTGCCAAACGACTTCCAAAAGTCAAAAAAAATTTTTTTCTTATGGGTCTTGTTCCCAGTAGAGACGTTGACTCAAAAACTAAAATTATAAGATCTGAAAACATATCAAAGAACTCTTCGATCGCCATTTTGTAAAAACATAGTAACCTAGCCTGTTATGGACAATACCGCTACAGGGTAGCTACTGAAGGCTCAAAGATTGACATAGATTGCAACATTGGCGCGAAAATAATTTCACTTGAAAAACAAAATGGTAAGCTTCTTACTTGGACAAGATTTTAACAGCTTCTCAAGTAATATCTCTAAAGAAGTTATCAGCGCTGCAAAATGTCTGATACACCTCCATTTGATTCATTTTTAAAATGGAAGTTGGGGATTTATCTATCGAGCGCTTTTGTAAAAGGTAATTTCCGGCATCTTTTGATGTTTGATTTTAGTGGGATGCGCAGACGCAGTAAGGTGAAACGCAGCTCGTGTTGCGTCCGCGACATCAACCGCTGAATGACCTCGATTTCTAGCCATGCGAATATCGGTCGGGAAACGGCGATGAGCAGCGATTGTCTTGCTCTTCGATCGCTGCTCGAGGTCGTAAACAAACTAGAGTTTCTTCAGGTAAGTTCGCAGCTCTCACCAAACCTGGTGGTAGGGACATAGAATGGCCGTAACAAACTTCTTTACTGATCCTTTTTTATACCGGCGAACCAACATTTTGCTTGAACGGACGAAAGAGTAACCGAAAAAAGCCAACATAATACTGTAAAATTTGCCAGCAATTGTCGCTAATTGAGCCGGTTCGCAACTTATTGAAACTTTGCACGAAAGACCTTCTTTCGGCGCAAGAACAATTTCTAAACCCACTCAATTTTTTGAAATTGTTTTCTTCTTTTCAAAAATTAGAATTTAAACCTTATTATCTTATCTTAACGCCTTCCCGCAAATCTTAGTGAGCCCGCGTTTCGTACAACGGTTCTCTGGCGCACGCGCAATCAATTTTCATCCCTGTGTCAAGTTCTCTCCTTCCTTTCGTTTTTGGACATCATAATGTACCAAATTTTCGATGTAAACGCTGTAGGTCCTCTTAATACAACGATTAGAGGGCAAAAGCTTTAGCCAGTGGTGTTTTCAAGCTATCGTAAGTGAGTTTGTCGAATTTTTTCTCTTTTTCCACCGCTTCGATTAACTTTAAGGTGGACAGGCCTCAACGTGATCTGAAATTTTTAATTCTGTAAATCAACTGGTGGAATTGTTCAATCACATTATTGTTATATCACTGGGAAAGACCAATACACATATTTTGGGATGCGTATGTATTCTTTCTGGTTCCTGTGCTTGATGATTTGCCAGTGATATTTTTTTTGAACATGAAAGATCCCTTTGTCTGTGTACAATGAAGTTCATGCGCCTCTTTTGCGTATTGCGTGCCTCCTAAAGACATGATTTTTGTGTTTAAAAGAAACACAGAAGTGTACCAGTACTTGTGAGTGTATTAATCCAACTTGTTTGTGATCAAGATTGATGTTTTATCGAGCTACGTTTTTTATAAAGCATCATAAAAAAATGCGTCTGAGGGAAATTTAAGGGGTAACTGACAGTTAAAAGGTCACTTTTTCGGAATACCGTCTAAATGTCACAGATAACACATTGAAACAGATACAAGGTGCTTCGAATGCCTCTTTGTGCCTATTTTTGCCGGGAAAACTGTCCTAAATACAGCTTCGTGAGTCATCTGCTGTCAAAGCTTTGATTGTGATCATGTGACCTTTACATCACACGTATACATATTTAGCAAAGTAAATATAGCAGATGGTAGTTCAAGTGAAAGCAGATCTATGTCAGGTCTGATTATTTGAATTTTGAGGCCTTGATGGAAGGTGAACATAATGAGAGGGATTATGAACCTGTTGGTAAAATTAGGCCCTCATAATTTGAACCGCCAGAAGGAACCTACAATTGAGCACGAGAGAAGCCTTGTGTAATGCCTTCACATTGCCCAAGGGCACTGCTGGCAATATAATGAAAATAGGCAGCTAGTAGGCTATTACTGACTACTGTAAAGATGTGCAAGGGGAAAATATGGAAGTAGAATATTTATCAAATATTCTGTTATGTTAATAGGGGTAGCTGCATATATGAAAAAGAATGCATTATATTGGTGATGAGAGATTGTTGAATTTGACAGAGTTTGTTTTGGATTTTCTCCCCAAAAAGCCCCTAAAAGAACAAGAAACAGTTCTAAATGATTATGGTGTGTGGGTGATTTCAGGTGTAATGGCTAACAAAAGCACTGCACTTCTTGTATTCCCCTTGTAGTTTCTGCAGTGGCAAATTACTAGAGAAACTACATCCTTAATGAAACAAGTTTTTATTTTCCAGAAGCAACATGTAAGTTTGGGAATAATGTTTGAAAAAAAAAAGCAGTATCTATGATTAACTACCAGCAACTATCAACCTTACACTTGGAAAAAAATAACTATTTCTCTTTCACAATAAACATCAATTTTAGGAGTAGGATTAACAAGAATGTTTAACATTTTTGTCTTGCTGTATCTGCAATTGTTGTTGATCTAGTGTTTGTATTGTTGGTGTTTTCATTGTCCTTAGACTTAAGATCAAAATTGCCTCTACAATTTTTGTCTTGTTATTGTATGTCATGCTGCTCAATGTTGGAAGCTCAAGGAAGAAAGATGTTATATTATCTTCCTTCATGGACAGATCTTGTTTCCTTTGGGATATCAGCAGGTTTTTGATGATGTCTTGAAAAAGTATTATTGTTACTTGAGTTCTATGTACGACTGAATGTAACACTTTTCAGTGGTTGACTTCACTTTCTGCTTAAGGCCACATGCATTACAAGTTAACTGTGGATTTTTTCAGAGTGATCTTCTTTTTGCATTGGCAACTTGCATGACATGCAATGAATGACTTAACTCCAAGTATTTCTGCATGTGTAATAGTTGTTGTAAATGACTTGGGTAGTTCAGAAGGTCAAATCACATTCTCTTTGAACAGTAAGCTTTGTACCCAGTTTTGGGTGAACATCACCAATGACTATAACAGCTTAAGACGCGAACGAGTTATTGTGCGACAACAACACCGTAGACTCATCATGTCAATCGCTCAGATTTTTTGATGAAAACTTGGCTTTCTAGACAAGATCTTTAGTAAAAAGAATTTCTTTTTATTTGCAACAAAGTTTATAAGGATCTCAAGGTGAATAAAGGGAAATAAACATCACCAATGACTCTAACAGCTTCAAACGCGAACGAGTTATTGTGTGACAACAACATTGTAAAGACTCATCATTACAATCGGTCAGATTTTTTAAGAAAACTTGGCTTTCTAGGTAAGATCTTTAGTAAAAAGTAATTCTTTTTATTTGCAACAAAGTTTATAAGGATCTCAAGGCGAATAAAGGGAAGTAAACATCACCAGTGACTCAAACAGCTTCAAATGAAAACGAGATAATTATTGTGTGACAACAACACTGTAAAGACTCATCATGACAATCGGTCAGATTTTTTAAGAAAACTTGGCTTTCTAGATAAGATCTTTAGTAAAAAGCAATTCTTTATATTTGCAACAAAGTTCATAAGGATCTCAAGGCGAATAAAGTTAACAACACAATGACTACATCCGCTTCAGACGCGAAGAGTTATTGTGTGACAACAACACCGTAAAGACTCATCATGTCAATCGCTCAGATTTTTTAACAAAAACTTGGCTTTCTAGACAAGATATTTAG